TCTGCTCACATTGTCAAAAGTTTCAGAATCTATCATAGGAATTAGCTTTCACTCTATTGTAGCAGTACACTATATTTTATTCTGCATGCACCAGATAATTTTCTCACCCTCCATGCTCATTTTCTTTTTGGCAGCTAAGCAGGGACAATGGAGCTTAGGTCCGGGCGTCGTTTAATGTGTAAAGTAATCTGCTGCTCCCCCAGGTCTGAACGCGCGAGGACAAAGCGCCGAAAAGGCTCCTCCCTGCAAGCACAGCACTATAGCATTGTCAGGCAAGCGCCCCTACCGCATTGTAGCCACAAAGCAGGGGGCAGCGCCAAAGTCACCTCTTGTCACATCTAGTCTTCAGAGCAAAGATAGCACCTAACATGTATGTCTGTACTATGATTAGATGAGTAGAGTTATATTTATAGCTTCCCACTACAACGTAGTAAAGAGAGCAAGTTAAGTTTTGCTATCTCCTCTGTAGAGCTCCGGCCAACGCTGGTGCTTGTGTTATGTGTGTGCAACGCCGGTGAGCTGTCGGCTCACCTGTGTGGAAGATCCAAGGGCCAACAAGTGGTATCGGAGCGGCATGGCTGAGTGCAAGCCGTGCGTGACTCTGATGGAGGAGCGTCTGAAGCTGACAAAGGCCAATACCACGGCGAAGGTAGATGCAACACTCTACCAAAGCATCATCGGTGGTCTACGCTACCTAGTCCACACGAGGCCAGACATTGCGTTCGTCGTAGGCTACGTCAACCGCTCCATGGAGGATCCTCGAGAGGATCACTGGGTCGCGGTGGAGCAGCTGTTGCGCTACGTCAAGGGGACGATGGATCAGGGGATCGTCTTCCCCAAGAACGGTGGAAGTGGGCTGCAGCTCACTTTGTTCAGCGATGCAGATATGGCGGGGGACATCGACGGATGGCAAAGCACCTCTAGCGTGCTCGTCTTTCTTGGGTCGGCTCCAATCTCATGGTTGTCGCTAAAACAGAAGGTGGTGGCGTTGTCCACGTGCGAGGCAAAGTATGTGGTGGTGGCCACAGCGGTGTGCCAAGCTGTGTGGCTGCGCCGGCTGCTGGGCAAGCTGACCGATGTGGAAGCTCACCCACCAGCGTTGATGGTCGACAACCAGCTCGCCATCGCCCCAGCGAAGAATCCGGTTCTCCACGACCGGAGCAAGCACATCGACATCAAGTTCTACTTCCTTAGGGACTGTATCGATGGAGGGCAGATCATCATTGAGTTCGTCAAAACTGGTCGGCAACTCGCGGACATCCTCATCAAGCCACTCGACCATCTTTGGTTCATGGAGCTGAAGAAAATGATCGGCATGGTGGAGGTTCTAGGGTTAGCGCAGAATTTGAGAAAGAATTGTAAAGTAATCTGCTGCTCCCCTAGGTCTAAACGTGCGGTAGGGGCAGGCACCGAAAGGGCTCCCTGCTGCTAATAGAAGAGTAGGCTGCCTAGATGAAGAAGTCTAGAGAAGCCTCCTCCAGTCGTGGTGGCAATGGCAAGCATCGTGGCATGGCTTCTTGAAGAAGAAGAAGAAGGTCGACCCCAACGCATGTCGACGCTGCGAGAAGACATAACATTGGGCAAAGGAGTGCCCAAATCATAGGTAGGAGAAGAAGGCTGGGGCTTATTTAGCGCAGGCTGATGAGGATGATGAGACCACTCTCCTGATAGCAACATTGCATGCAGGCGAGCTATGTGATAGCTGCCTGGCCGAGAAGCAGAGGAGGCTGTCGTTCTCAAAGGTGGCCAAGTATCGCGCGATGGATGCTCTCGAGCTTGTCCATGGTGATCTCTGCGGGTCAATCACGCCAGTCACAAATAGTGGTTGGCGGTATTTCCTTCTGCTCGTGGATGATTGCAACTCCTGACGAGCAAGGACGAGGCGGCGGAGGCGATCAAGAAGTTCAAGGCGCGCGCAGAGGTGGAGAGCGACAAAAAGCTGCGCGTGCTGCAGACTGATCGCGGCGATGAATTCACTTCGGTGGAGTTCGTTGTGTACTATGCGGATCAGGGTGTGGTGCGACACCACACCGTGCCGTACTCGCCACAGCAGAATGGCATGGTGGAGCGGTGGAACCAAATGGTGGTCGACATGGCTCGATCCATGATGAAGACCAAGAGCATGCCGGCAAGGTTCTGGGGTGAGGCGGTGACCACGACGGTGTTCATCCTCAACCGCGCGCCCACTAAGGCCCTGATGGGCAAGACGCCGTTCGAAGCTTGGTATGGGCACAAGCTAAGCGTGTCCTTCCTCCGGACATTCGGACGCATCGGCCACATTAGGAAGACGAAGCCGGTCCTCACCAAGCTGGAGGACAGGAGCACACCGATGGTGCTCCTAGGCTACCAGGAAGGTACTAAGGCGTACCAGCTCTATGACCCATGTGGAGGCAAGGTGGTTGTCTCGTGTGACGTCGTGTTCGATGAAAAGGCGGCCTAGGACTAGGACAGTTTAGGCACGGGGGAAGCTGGTGGCTTCACTAGCACCTTCATCGTCGAGCACTTGGTCATCCATGGTGGTGGAGACACTAGAGAGGAGGTGCCGACCACTCCAGCAACAGAGCCGAGCACTCTTGGGGCGGTGCCGAGCACTGCGGGAAGGGTGCCAAACACTCTAGGAGTGGTGCCGAGTGGTCCTACAGTGGTGCTGACCACTCTAGGATGGGTGCCGAATGCTCCCGTAGCAGAGCCAAGTGGTCTTGCAGTGGTGCCGACCACTCCAAGACTGATGCCGACCACTCATGTAGTGGTGCCAACCACTCCAGAAGTGGTGACAAGCGGTCTAGGAGTAGTGCTGAGAACTACAGTGGGGGTGCCGAGCACTCCAGGAGTGGTGACAAGCGGTCCAGGAGTAGCGCTGAGAACTACAGTGGGGGTGCCGACCACTCCGGCGGAACAGGGGACTCCATTGACACCGATCGAGTTTGCCTCACCTCCAAACGACATCACTGAGTTCGTGGATGCCTTCCATGACGGTGAGGAGGTGCGGTTACGCAAGCTGGACGACATCATCGGCGACACAGGGTCCTCAAGCCTAGCGGGTTGGCTGCTCAATGACCCAGAGCTGCTTCTCATCAGTGTAGAGGAACCACCCACGTTCACGTTGGCTAAGCATGATGCAAATTGGCGACGAGCGATGCTGGAGGAGATGAAGGCGATCGAGGAAAACGAGACTTGGGAGCTCATCAATCCACCTCCAGGATGCCGTCTGATCGGCCTGAAGTGGGTGTACAAGGTCAAACGGGACGAGCGCGACGCCATTGTCAAGCACAAGGCACGCCTCGTCGCCCGAGGCTTTGTCCAGCGCGAGGGCATCGACTTCGAGAAAGTCTTTGCGCCGGTAGCGCGCATGGAGTATATCCGGCTGCTGCTGGCTTTGGCAGCAGCGAAGGACTGGCGCGTCCATTACCTAGACGTAAAATCGGTCTTCCTTAACGGCGAGCTAGCAGATACGATCTTCGTTAGGCAACCTCCGGGTTTCATCGTCAAGGGAGCGAAGCACAGGGTGCTCCAACTGTGCAAGGTGCTCTATGGGCTGCGGCATGCCTCGTGAGCGTGGAACAGCAAGCTTGACACCACGCTGGGCGAGCTTGGGTTCAAGCGGTGCGCAACCGAGCACGCGCTCTACACACGGCGACTGGAAAGGAGGAGCTCTTCGTCGATGTGTATGTGAACGAGCGCATGGAGTAGGCCACAATAGCAACGGACAGCGGCAAACTGCTACTGACAGAGGAGGAGTGGGCTGCCCGGATGAAGAAGCGGTCTCCAAGTACCTCCACTCTGTGCCGGTGAAGTACATACAGATCGCTCTCTGCATAGAAACGATGTTAGACTTGTCCACCCTCACCATTGAGGATGTGACAGGCCGTCTAAAAGAGCTCCCTGCTGTTGCACTGTAGCCGCGGCAGGGACAGGCGCTGAAAGGCTTTCCCGCCGCACTGTAGACACAGCAGGGGCATAGGCCAAAGTCAACCCTACTGTTACATCTAGTCACTGTAGCAGCATGGCACTAGGATTAGATGGGTAGAATTGTATTTATAGCTTTCCACTGCAACTCAGTAAAGAGTCCGAGTTCAGTTTACTATCTACTCTGCAGAGCTCTGGCCAACACGCTTATATGTTGTGTGCACCCTATTCTCTCTCCCTTCTTCCGGCTCTAGTCATATTGTGTGGTGGCCATCACCGCTGGTCTCAGCAAAGCTTATAGGATAGGATCAGTGGCCTCCCTGAGGACCTGCTCCTTGAGATTCTCATCCATCTCAGTCCGTCATTGAAGCGCGCATCTTGCCGAGCAAGATATCCACTACCGGGCGTGACTCTCCGGATTGAGCTTCTTGAGCTCACGCTCGCAAGCGCCAACCCTCTCCCTGTTGTGTCAGTGCTCTCCGGGATCACCCGTTCCTTGGTGGACCTCCTTGACATCAATTTGTCGTCCTCATTGGGCTGGATGGAAGAAGACGGGGGTGGGGACGATCCTTGCTTCTTCGCTCATTGCACTTGTGTTGCCAGAGAAACTCATCATCTCTGTGATGATCCACCCCATAAAAGACTACGCCGTCGAGCTTCCTTGCTTCGAGCGCACATCTTACGTCCTGTTCGCTTCTCTTATAATCCGTCTTTTTCAACTTATTTTTTAGATAGAACAGTATTTTTCCCTCACAACAAATCAGCCAGAATAGTCTTGAGTTGATGGGCAGCCTCCCAATTACTTTGCCACGGTCCGGTGAGTTCACTGCACTCAAGATCCTTCACCTGCAATCGTGCTGCATCGACCTTGGCGTCCTGCCTCCCCATCGCCCATGTCTGCGCATCCCGAACATCCTAAACGTCAAGCGATCTCAAACATGACGACGGTGATTTTTCACTAGCCGTCGCTGAGGAGTTCACTTGGAGATAAATATTCATGACATCCGCCGCATTGACATCACGACCCAAATGCTTAAGGAGGTGACATTGAGGTTGATATTGCCAAAGGCTTCAGCTTGTCCTTCTCGGCCCCAATGGTGAAGAAACTCAGATGGGGTTGCTCCTATTCGTGCGTTACTGTTGGGTTCGGACAGATATGGCGCCTCGTGAGCATAAGGGAGTGTGAGCTAGATGAATTTCATGTCGTCTCGCTAACCATAATGAGTTCTGCTAATGTGCGTATGCTACTTTTCTACGCTTCTTTTTTGTTTTTTTGAAACAATGGCAGGAGCTCTGCCTTTCAATTAAGATGAATGAAGTTTATATACAAGCAAAGGTAACCAAGCGTGGCGCCAAACACCATGAAAGGTTAGTCCACCCACGCAACGCGATAGAGTACACACTACCATGAGTCATCGTTGCCGAGCATGGTTGCAAAGCAGCCAGCAGCTCCGACTTCCCATGGCAAAACACCGACGACCCATCCTAAGATGTCAGACCAACGGGCCCGAAGCAGGAGGCTGCAACAGGTCATCGTTGCCGAGCTCAACGGCTTCGCGAAGAGCAGCTCCGACTTCCTGCCTTGATCCCACGCCCGCCCGTGGCAATTGCCGAGCCTCTAAAGCTGAAACCCAGCCATCGGAGAAGGAGGGTTCGACCTGCGTCATCGTTGTCGAGCTACATCCCCTGATGCAGCAGCTCCGACTTCACGATGCAGAACTCGCCGTCTCGCATCAACCGGGCGCCGAGAGGTAGAGGACATCCGCCGAAGGAGACATCATGGCCGAGACGAATTTCCATGGCGACGCCTTCAGGAAGGGTACGACGCCGATAGCGCCGCCATCGCTTGTCCAGGAATGGACCGGGTTTCCACCTGTGGAAGACATGGCTGGGGGCACAAGAACACGACGCCCCCAACAAGGAAAACGGCGCCCACAGGCGTCGCCGTTGCCAAGGTTTTCGCCCGAGGTGCCCTTAGCACAAACGTCGAGCCAAGATGCCGGACCGTAGCTTGTCGCCACCGTCGTCATCACTGCCATCCCGCAGAAGCCCCTCCAGAGGGGCATCGACGCGCGTCGGCTGCTCACAGCAGCCGCACAGCTGCGTCGGCCGCCACCCCCTCCGACCGGGCAACATGCAGAGCTGGACTTACCCTGCCACGCGCGTCACCCTGCCGCACACCGAAGCCGTCGCCGGCTCAAGCACCCGCCGTCGACGCCGCCAACCTCCGCCAGCCACCAACAAGCGAATGCCCCACCTCGGGCGCCGCCCCCTGCCCTGGGGGCACCGGATCTAGCCGTCAGGGCGCCAGACCCAGTGACCCCGGCTGGCGCCGCCACCTCCACGCCATGGTCGAGGAGGAAAGGGGGGAGCGGAGGAGGAAGAAGGAGCCCCCGCCACCTCCCGGCGCCTGCACGGGCACTGGCCAGCGCCGTCGCAGCCGCAGTGGGCGGCCCCGCCGAGCCCCACGCGGCTCGTGCGAGGGCACGCCCCGCCGCCCCGCTACTGTGCACGCCACCACCAAGCGCGAGGAAGAGGAAGAGACCCGGCCTTGGGCGACGCAGCCGCCACCGCGCGCCCCCCTGGGCGTAGCCTCGCACCACGGGCGCCGTACCCGCGGATCCGCGGCATCTTGGACAGGAGCCGCCGCGCCGCCAGCGCCCGCCCAAGCGTGGGCCGGCGGAGATCCGTGCGAATCCGGTCGATGGACCGCCGGATCCGGACGCTGAAGCGAGGAGACTGCCGCTGAAGACGCCGGAGCCACCACCTGCCCCAGTGACCACGCCATGCCCCAGGACGCCGCACGCGAGCTCGTCCCCGACCGTCGCAGCTTCCACCGCGAAGAAGAGCCTCGCCGCCGCCCTCCCGGCAAGCTGCACGGCCATGCCGGCGGCCTGCTTCGGCGACGGCGCGGCTGGAGAGAGGGAGGGAAGGAAGAGAGGCGGCTAGGGTTTGGGTCGCCTCCCGTGTTGCCTGCGTGGGGGCGACGCGGGGGCCAAAAATTAGATACTTTTATACGCTTCTCTTCCAAACTTTTATAACGAAATTATTTATGTTATTATATGCAGCCAAATGGTTTTCTCCATGTGATGAAAATTTCCTCTGTCGATAACATTGGACACTCACTTTGTTGAATGCAGTCAAATGGTCTTCTGGATGCAGAATGGAGCATTACACAACTGATAGCTCATCTTCCAGTGGCTGTTTTTACTGTTTTAGAGCTGGATCTCGAAATAGAGGGGCATGCTTTTGGACCAATGATGTTATGTCTGCTTCGGACTCAACCAATTATGCAAAGACTTAAGGTGGTCCTAAAACGTGACAAGGTAATCATTCGATTGTTGATCCTGTACTTATGTATTCTGGTTGGCTACTGAGTTTCGATAGCAGTGAATTGTCCTTTAGTTATGTATTCCGGTTGTTGATCCTGTACTCCAATTTTCTTTCAGGTACGAGTGCCGTGCCCAGTAAATTGTCCTTGTGAACATCCTATCAACTGGAGAAGTGAAGATGTCTCTTTGTCTAATCTTGAAGTCGTTGAAATTCATGGCCTGCAAGGTGAAGATGATGAAGTTGATTTCCTAAAAGGCATACTCCGATGTGTAACAGTGCTTCGGAGATTGACAATGACTATTTCTGATGACATCTCACCAAGTAACAATGGCTACGAGAAGATCTGCAGCATTATGAAGGAGTATCCTGATGTGGAATGCCATATTATGGCATCCGTTTCTGAGGGGTTCTTTATCCATGAATAGAAGAATATTTGCAAATGGCAATTGGTGACATCCTTATGCTTTAATCAGTTTTTATCTTTCTGATATGTTTTGCTGGAGAATTCTGTATGCAAGTTTCATGACTTGATAAATTTGGTGGTGACCACTGGACAGAAGGTGCCATTGCCTATTAGTAGATCAATGATTTGTATGCAAATCAAGTACCTCTAGTTTAATGTGTCTCACAGTAACTCAGTAAGGTTCAACTCCTTTGTATTGCCTGTCAGGCAAGCTAGACAAGGAAACACGGCCTTGTCTGTAGTCTGTACTCATTTCAAGCAAGGCTGCGCTCTTTGCAACGTAATATGCAAAGAGCACTTCAAAATTCCCAAATGTGAATGTTTAGCCCCATCTTTTCACTATGCCTTCAATGAAATGAAATCCAGTTTAACCTTTTTAAAAAAAGAACTCTTTGTAATTCATGAACTGAATTTCAGGTCTGGTAGCATGTGGTTTACTGGTCAAGATAGGGCAAGTTCAGTTTGTCGATGCTGTTTTGTTAGTTTTTTTTTTCTATGTATAAACTATAAATAAAATGCATATTAGAAGCCTGAGAGCTTTCATGGAAAAAGAACTTTCATCTAGACGAACAGTTCTGCGTGATTTGTTCTCAACAGGCCACCAAGGTTCTTCAAATTACCTTTCATTTATAGATTCTGGTGTTGTCCTCCCACAACATTCAGAACATCCAGGTTTTAGTATTCTTTTAATGCATTGGCAATGGAAAACAAGTCATTGCTTACATTATTGTACGGATTTATGGTGGGAAGTTGGTCTATCTGTTCTGGTATACCAGAGAAAGGAAATTTAACAATGAAGAGTTGCATAGTAGTCTTTATCGCATTCTGTTCTGTTATCTGACGGCTACAAATGCATGCAATTAACCGTTTTGTTGTGAGTCCAGTTGCTTCGCGTTGCAGTAGGTCAATCTATAACCAGTACATTTTTCCTGCACGTTTTGGTTTCTACTACATTTTTCTATTGATCAGGTGTACTCAAATTGAATCGGACACTCCCATCCCAAGAGACCGTGTTATCTGGTTTAAGCCATCAGAAATATCGCTCGAAATTGCAGTAAGATATACGCGGTCAAATGCCATGCTTTGTTCATGGAAAATAAATATCCCACGTCGTTACCCGGTCAAGTCTGAACTTGAATAGTTCTCTGGAGTGGTACTGAAGTAGATGTAATCATATTTGTCAGATAAATTCGCAACATCCAGTCAATGCATGTTCCCGCAGTGCTATATATATTGCCAGCAAGATCACACTTCCTTTCTTTGTTTCCTCTAAGGCTCTAATATAAAAGGATGCTATTGGGGCTGGGAGCCTGGGATCATGCATATTAGAGAGACTACATTATATTTTGCGTTAAGATAAAGACCACCCCAAATGCAGGGGTAACCCAGCAGCATCTCTGCCTCAATTCATACAGAACCTGCCCTTGGAAGTTGGGACTGCGATACAAGTTTAGGAAATGGCTGGTGGCTGGTGGGTAATTTGTTCTTCCAACTTTGAACTGCCTTTGGATGATATTGTTCTCCTTGGTCATCCACTATTTTCTTCCGTTCTTAGAGAAAAGAATAAAGTTCAATCTAATCCACATCGATCATATTTGCATTTTTGGGGAAAACACGTTCTGAAGCCTATCTATGGTTTTGTCTGACAAAACAAAACAGCATGGGGTTCCTCCTGTTCTTTTCACACTGTGGCCCAGATCCTGACTCCCGAGGCCGAGCAGCTCCTTCACAGTGTGAAGCAAACAGGCCCGCCCACCAACAGGATCAGTGCGCCATCTTGCTCCAGGCCATTGTAATTGCAAAAACAAAATATTGTTGTATTTCGTTGCCTATGTTACCAAAAATATTTTCGGTGATGTAAAAAAAAGTCTAAATATCAGGCCCCAGAAACTCTACCTGCATGCTCAAAAATGAGAAAAGAAAACTCACCAAAAAAAAAACCACCTTCGTTTTCTAAAATTCGGCTCCCTCATCAAGCATATACGGTGAAGCTGTACGAGTCGAAGCAGGCCTATGTGAATCTTTAATCTTCCTTTTACTCTCCTCGCTCTTTAACTCTCCTCGCATTACATGTACAGTACAACAACATGGCGAAATGAACAGCACAAACAGTATACTCTACAGCATGTCAGATCCTGCCTACCAGTCAACGCTAAATCGAAAACCTGTCAAAAAGTTTAACAGGGCTGAGCTACCAAAACTGTCACTGAGATTGGGGATGGAAGTATTGCATCCGAGGAGGTGGCTGCATGGGCCTGAAAGGCGGCACGCCAGGCGGCTGAAGGGCGAACTGCATCTGAGGCGCTAGGTTCATTGGCATCTGCTGCTGAAGCATCGGTGGAGTTGGCTGGGTCTGCGTCATGACAGCCATTTGAGGCTGTGGAGCTGAAGGTGAGGGCCTTCCTAGGTTCATCATCTGGGGCGGTGGAGGCGGTGGTGGCGGGGCCATGGTGCTCATGTTGTAAGGCATGCCCATCATTACACCTCCAGGCTGAGGGACAAACTGCTGGGGAGAGGCCTGGTAGATATTGTACTGTGGCTGAGATGCAGGGGCTTGGCTCTGCATAGGTGCTTGTTGCACTAAGATTGCCTGGGGCTGCTGCTGAGCTGTTGTGGCAACCACTTGTGGCATTGGAACGAAAGCAGCAGCATTTGCGACGCTTGGTACCTGCGAAAGTTGGTCAGTTTTCTGCCTCTTATCTGAGCGTGTTTCAGATGAATTCTTCGCTTCTTCAGCAGCAAACTTGGAAAGTGCAGACTGCAGAATCTGCTGAGAGTTTGATGATGCTGCAATCTTGTCCGCAAGGATAGCAGCAGCTGTCTTCTGCTGCTCCTTTACTTGCCCATTGGAAAGCACCTTTCTTGGCTCTACTGAAGATGCTGATTTGGGCAGCGGAATGGTTGGCTCATTCTTGAGTCTCCGCTGCATGTTGGAGGCTTCATGTACCATTGCTTCAGCTAGCTGCCGATTGGAAAATTTAAAAACATAAGAATGACAAGTGTTCACATCCTACAGAACACTATAAGCATGTATCAACATTTCCATGGTTTGGAATGGTTGGAAAAAATTACCTGTAACTGAGTGCGGACTTTCTCCAGTTCAGATTCCTGAGTAACATAAACAAATAAGATTCCATAGCTCCATCGACAAAATACAAGTAACAATGACAAGCTAATACATATTCGAAAAGACAAAATTCAAGTTGTTCTGACCTGTTCCTGCAATGCCTCCTTCAATTCAGACACAACAGCTGCTCTATTTGTCTCAACAACTTTTAGCTTTTCGATGCATTTTTTCATGTTAGCCTCCTCATCCTTTAGTTCTGTGCAAAGAACCTCATGACGAGGATCTTCGGCTGCATACAGAGGACGTCTTAAGAATGTCTACTAAGGTAGCAAAAATGCAGGACTCCACCCAGGCCGGCAACAAATATTACCTTTGCTACAGGCACTGTCGACGTCCTTCTCCATCTTTCCAACATGACGCATAGAAGTCTTGCATTTTTCGAGGTCAGCATCCTCATCTGCTTGTTCACTGAGAACAGTATGCAATGCAGATACAATCCTCTCTGCAGTGCCTCCGATGCCTAGTCTCTGATCAAAGATGGCGATAATATTTGAGAGAATTTCATAGCAAAGTATAAGTGTTAAAAAATAGTCTAGTAGGAAGAGTAGAAAATCTTACAAGTTTCACAGAACGCGAATCTCTTTTAACAATCCTTATTGATGAACTGTGAGAGCGCTTTTTGGTCATATCTAAAACAGGAAGGGGAGCTGCGCCAAGCATCACATCCTTGATGCCCCCAGCACGTGAGCCAAAAACTCTCCTTTCTTGCCATATGTCAACCTAGGACACATTTGTGCGTTACTAATAAGTTTTTGCAGCTACACGACAATATTAACAGGATACACGTGTATTTTCAGAACAGATATGCAACAGCTGGGAACTCATAACATCGATATACAACACTCACCAGCCTAGATGCCACCTTCTTCCCACGGTCATCACCATTCTCACTTACATTTTTAAGCGCCCCAGGGAGAACCTTCCAAAATTCTTCTACAAACTCTGTCCCATTGCGCTTGCTGTTCTGTAAGATGTCATTAGCAAGATGAAGGAAAGGGACCTTCTGCTCCTTGCTAGAGCTGTGGAACTGCTTGTCCCAAGTCTGAACAATTTGCTCTGCATTCTTTCTATGGTAAATGCACCAATGTGACAGCGCTAGTGGCCACAAAGAGCAAAAGTCAAGGCAACAACCGGATAACTAAAATACATGTTTTATGGCAAAGAACTCAATCTATTTACACCAACTGAATAGGTTAAAAGATTTTAAGTCAAGACATTTTCAGTAGGCAATATAAAAAGAAGCAAACAGAGAGTCCCCAGCGAGTCAAGAATCTATCTGATCATGGTGCAGAACGGGCAAATTCTCCCTACCGGCTATTCAAAGATACATCCTTTTGAACGAACCTGACAGCAATTCGATGGACGCGAGCTTAAGCACGGAAAAGAGATGTATCTACGGTCTAATCGTACAGAAAACGCGAGACCAAGCGCACAAGTTGCAAATTCACACAAAACTTCCTGGAAGCACCGCAAACAGTCCAAAATCCAAAAATTTCAACGGGGAAAAGTAGGGAAAGGATACTTTCGATGCATTGCTGCGTGTTGTTGAGCTTGGCGAGCTTGTCAGCGAGTATGTCCTCGCTGAACGCGCTGTTCATGGCCGCCCGAACAGCACGGAGAGCTCAAATCGTCGCGCAGATCTTGGGGGCGGGGGGAGGAAGAGGGACCGACGAAACCTAGATAGAAGAGCTGCTAGCCGACCACGGCGGCGATGGCGGAGGCATCAGCCGCCGAAATTTCGAGGTGCGGATGGATCAGGGAGGCTAGGGTTTGGAGAGGTAGGAACTAAAGAAGAGGAGTGTAAGCGTGATTCAGATCGGCTGAAGCGTTTTCCT